GGGCTGTGAGAAGTTACACAGAGATGGGAGGGTGGGGGGAGATGTGAGAAGTTACACAGAGATAGTGTGGTGTGTGTGTGTGTGTGTGAGAGAGAGAGAGAGAGAGAGAGAGAGAAAGAGAGAGAAAAGGGCTGTGAGAAGTTACACAGAGATGGGAGGGTGGGGGGAGCTGTGAGGAGTTACACAGACACAGTGTGTGTGAGGCTGTGAGAAGTTACCTAGAGACCATGTGTGTATGTGTGTGTGGGGCTGTGAGAAGTCACACAGTGTGTGCGCCTCGCACAGAGCAGAGACTAGCTCCGTAACGCCTGTACCTGCCCGCACCGTCACGGCCGTGGAGCTTGGAGGCAGCTGTAGTGAAGGACCGTGTGCGGGGAGCTCACATGCTGCGAGGCACTGAGTGTCCCTCCTGGACAGGCGGTGGGGACCTGAGTGCCGGGGAGCCCTCACACCCACAGAAACTGGGTGCCAAGGACCCCCAGGAAAGGACAGGTGCTGGCATCCACTTATCACCATCCAAGCCACCAAGGGAATGCAAGTAACCAGATGCTGGGCTTTAGTTTAGGCAACACGGACCATAAATACCCAACCAATGATCTAGAATCACTTCCTCAGTCACGGCACCTGGTTCGCCCTGCCCCCTGCCAGGGCAGAGTTCTCCAGCCAGGGCCTTCCTCAGCGGCACACACCTCCTCTGGATAGGACCCCACCCTCCCCTGAGGAACAAGAGCAGGGCAGCTCCAATGACATTTGTTGCACAGAAATGAAACAGAAACAGTCCATGCTTCTGGTCAGGTTCCTGGAGGCCCACAGGGATGCTAAGGCTCCAGTCCCTGTCACGGGATTCTTAGTCTCTGACTGGTGCTCAAAGCTGTGACCTTGAATCCTTTGGCAGGTGCTGTGTGAGTGAGCTGGGTCATGACAAGCAGATGTAAGAGGGCAGCCAGCACCCGCCCAGCTCTGGGAGCTCTTTCTTGATTGTTCTCCATCACCCAGAGAGACAACAAACGTTTGCTCCCTCGGCCTTTGCAGACCCAGCACCCCCTGCACCTCCCACCCTGGGCAAGAGGCCCTCGGGCCTCATGAAAATAAAGGCAGGGCAGGGAAGTACCCCAACAGAAGCACCTTACACTCCTCAAAAGGAGAGAAAAGAGACTTCCAACAGTCCAGTCAAAAGTCAGAGTTCGGCTGCTTGCAAGAAACCAAGTCTTACCTAATGACAAGTACTACAAAGGTCAAGGCCGTCAAAAATTTTAACCTGAGATCTGAAAAACAGAGAGAGGGGGAGAGAAGCTCATTAAACAGTGTGGAAGTCAATTCCACTCTCACCTCAGAGACCTTCAAAGTAAAATCAAAACGAAGCAAGACCCTCCCTCCCCTCCCTCGGAACGATGAATCTCCTGAAGCCCAGGAGATGCGGCCCCCCTCATCGGGTCCAGGCTCAGGCTCCCCAGTGAGGCCAGAGCCTTGTTCTGGCTGTTGACAGTCTCGGGGAAAGGACCCCTGACTAGGAGACTATGGAAACAGCCCTGCCAGCTCCATGAAGGGCCAATTCTGGGGAGACCAGGCGGCTCTCCATAGCCACACTGGCCCCCAGGGCCCCAGGCTGGCCTCCACCCAAGGCCCTCCCACCAGCGCTGTCCCCAGGCACCATCCAAATGATCCAGAGTGATTCATTAGACACGGTCCCCAGCCTGTGGGGTAAGGGACAAATCTGAGACACTCCCCCCAGATAAGATTACTTAGTGGGGTCCAGAAACCCTTCCCCCGAAACAACATCAACTCCTAAGCCACTCCTTCACAGGGAGTGAAACCCATTTTAAAAGTGTATGTTCCAAAAATTAGAAGCAACCAAGATTCAGTAAGTGAACTGATAAACTTGGTCCACCCATATACAGTGGACTATTTTTCAGAGATAAAAAGAAACTGACTTAAAGACATGAAGGACCAGTATGAAGGAAGCCAGTCTCCTGGCTATATGTCTTATGATTCCATGATAGGACATTCTGGAAAAGGGAAAACTATAGAGACAATGAAAAGACCAGTGGTTTCCAAGGGTCCAGAAGGAGGCAGAGGGAGGGATGGGGGACCATAGGTGTGTTCGGGGCAGTGAACCTGTTCTGTGTGTTGCTGTCATGGTGGACACATGACATCATGCTTTTGTCCAACACAGGGTGACTTCTAATGTGAACTATAAACCAAAAAAAGCCAAACTCACCGCCACTGAGTCAGTTCTGACTCACAGCGACTCCCACTACTGGGTTTCCAAGGCTGTAAATCTTTATGGAAGTAGATTGCCCCATCTTCCTTCTGTGGAGCGGCTAGTGGGTCTGAACCACTGACCTTCTGTTAGCAGCCAAATGCTTTATCCACTATGCCACCAGGGCTCCTTTGTGAACTATGGACTTTAATAACATATCGGTATCGGGTCGACTGTAGCCCATGTCCAACACACAAGCAAGCAGTCAGCACCGGGAGGAGCAGTGTGCAGGGGCAGGGACACACAGCAGCTCTCTGTGCTTCCTGCACAGTCTGTCCGTAAGCCCTTCTCTGCTCTAAGAATGAAAGTCCACTAGGAAGCACAGGAAGAGGTGCTGACCTACGTAAGGCATGTGGCGTAGCTCGGAACACGCCCGCACGATCAAGAACAGGAGGTACAGGATGTACACAGCCGCCACCACCATGAAGAATGCCTTCATTCCCTGGAACAAAGCGCAACGGTCAGTGCTCCAGCGCAGCACAGGGGCTCCAGCCGCACTCCCTCCCCACCAGCACGGGCAGGAGGCACGCCTTCCCTCCGGGGGCTCAGAACCTGAACAGCCTGCCACGAAGCAGCGCAGGGCCGGCCGGCCCCTGACTCCCCTGCATCTCCAGGCTCAGCTCCCGTCTCTCCCCCTGAACATGGGCAGCTCACTGGCCACCAGGTGAGTGAGAACCAAATCCCTCACCACTCGTGTAACGCCCCCAGCTCAGGGCTACACGGTGGTGCCCAGGGAGTGGTGGTGACCAATGTGTGTCCCACACCCTGCTCATGAAGACAAAGTGCATGTCAAAGAGCGTGCCCAGGGCTGGACCCTGAGGAATCTCCAGGCCGCCTCTACTTCTCTGGCTGCAGCCTCCTACGACATGAAGCCTGAACCAGATGACCCACCAAGCCACTGGGTCAGCAGCTGCGTGGGAGAGGCTGGCCTCGGCGGAGCTCCTCCTGGGGGCACTCCCTCCGTCTCCTCCTCTCAGAGCTCAAACCCCTCTCACGGGGCTCCACGTCAGCTTCCCTCAGCCTGCGGGCTTCAGACAAGCCTCTCTGCTCCCTGGACTGCTTCCCATCCCTAAGCAAAGGGGCAGGACTAGATCAACTCTGAGCCCTAAAGCACTTTAAGCTTCCTTCAGTGACAGTAGTGACAGCCCTGACCTGTTCCTCTCAAAGAGGTGGCAGTGACCTTGTACCCTCATGGTGGCCAGCCCTTCCCCATGGCCTGACTGAGGGAAGAGAGGCCAAAGGTAAGTGGGAATGGCCGCCTTGTTGTAGAATCGGCCGCCTCATGGTGTGTGTACTCCTGCTGGCCCTAGCTAAGTGCTTCACGCACAATGTCATCGTGAACACAATCCCCACATTTCCCTGGAGCAGACATTGTAATCCCCCCACCTTATAGATGAGAAGACAGGAGGGGGAGCAGGTAGGCAGTCCCCAGGATCCTGGGTTTGGGCCCAGGCTGCCCAGGAAGTTGGTGTAGGCCCAGGTGCCCCAGATGGTGGTCTAGGGCCAGGCCCTCGCCTCCCCCAAGTCTCCTCAGGGAGAAAGGGAGACTGTGTCAGACAAGGGTTCCTGTAACAGCAGGTTCACAGGAAATGTTCTGTTTATATAAAGCCAGCAGAGACATTCAACTGACAGCAGCCTGCGCACTGCCAGGGCCACACAGGCAGGCACCAAAGCAGCTCCTTCCCTCCCTCCCGTCACGGCCCGCCTGCCCTCTGAGGCCCTGACTTGGTGGCGTGGCCTCTGACCCCCACAGGTATCCAGACGTCCTTCCCAAGCACAGGCCTCATTGAGCCCTCTGCTCAGGGTCACCTGTGCTACCAGTGTCTGTCCTGGGGGGCCCTGCCACTCTGCCTCGTGTCATACAGCGCATGCCCCCACAAGGTTCCAGAAGGGTTCCTCTTCCCCAGACCCACATTCTTTCCCGTCCCTGCGGGCTCAAGGTGTACCCCACCTCCCCAAACAAAAACACACTCAAGCTGTGCCCCTCAGCTCCTCCCTGACCACTGAACACCCCGTGGGGCACAGTTCCACTCTGACACATGCAGGCACGAGGAGTAAGGGTCGACTGGGCAGCAACTGGTTCAGTGTTTGCTTTTAATGTAAAAGGAAAACGCTGGGCCTCTGGATCCAAGAACAGTAACAATTTCAGGACGAGGACTACAGCACGTTAGACCAGATGTGGGCCCTGCTGGGCTCGGGACCCTCCAAAGCCCAGGCCCCTCCAAGTGAAGCCAGCCAGTTTAGAAAATATTTTCTCTTTGAGGCCAGTTAAGATAGAGAGAAAGCCTCTTATCACTCCTGGGCATGGGAGCTAGGGGTGCCACAGGCAATCAACAAGCCCCAACCAGCCACCCCATTTCCTAGAGACTCTCCATTGCAGCCAGCTGGAGTTGGGGCCAGCCAGAATCAGAAGCACATGGAGATAGTAATTCTATTCTTTTGCTGACCCCGGAACATTAAAACTCCTGACAAGGAACCAAGAATCTCCAGAATGATGTCATTAGTGCTACACAAACCCATTTCAGAAGCAAAGGGTCCACAGGCCACTTCCACACTAGGCTATAACCCTGTCCCCTATAAATAAAGCATGTTGTTGTTGTTTTTGTTGTTGGTTCGAGTCGGCCCCAACTCATAGTGACCGTGTGTACAACAGAACAAAACGCTGCCCAGTCCTATGCCAGCCTCACGATCCTTGCTATACCTGAGCCTGTCATCGCAGCCACTGTGTCAATCCATTTCAATGAGGGCCTTCTCCCTCTTTGTTGACCCTCCACTTTACCAAGCACGAACTCCTTCTCCAGGGAATGGACCCTTCTGACAACATGACCAAAGTAGGTGAGACGAAGTCCGGCCATTGTTGCTTCCAAGGAGCATTCCAGCTGCACTTCCTCCAGGACAGATCTGTTCATTCTTTTAGCAGTCCACGGTACTTTCAGTATTCTTCACTAATACCACAACTCAAAGGCATCAACTCTTCTTCAGTCTTCCTTGTTCACTGTCCAGCTCTCATGTGCATACGAGGCGACTGAAAATACCATGGCTTGGGTTAGGCACACCTTACCCTTCAAGGAGACATCTTTGCTCTTCAGCACCTCCAAGACGTCTTTTGCAGCAGATCTGCCCAGTTCAATATGTCGTCTGATGCTGACTGCTGCTTCCATTGGTGTTCATTGTGGAGCCAAGGAATATGAAGTCTTTGACAACTTCACTCTTTTCTCCACTTATTGTGATGCTGATTATTGGTCTAGTTGTGAGGATTTTTGTTTTCTTTATATTGAGGTGTAATGAGGTGTAATCCATATTGCAGACTATAGTCTTTAATCTTCATCAGTAAGTGCTTCAAGTCATCCTCACTTTCAGCAAGCAAAGTTGTGTCGTCTGCATAACAGAGGTTGTTAATGAGTCTTCCTCCAATCCTGATGCCACGTTTTTCTTCACATAGTCCAGCTTCTTAGATTATCTGTTCAGCATACAGATTGAGCAAGTATGGTGAAAGGATACAACCCTGACGCACTTCCTTCCTGATTTTAAACCACACAGTATCCCCTTGTTCTGTTCGATCAACAGCTTCCTGGTCTATGTACAGGCTCCCGATGAGCACAATCAAGTGTTTGGGAATTCCCATTCCTCTCAATGTTATCCATAATTTGCTATAATCCACAGTCTAATGCTTTTGCATAGTCAATAAAACACAAGGAAACATCTTTCTGGTATTCTTTGCTTTGATCCAAGATCCATCTGACATCAGCAACAATATCCCTTGTTTCACGTCCCCTTCTGAATCCAGCTTGCAGTTCTGGAAGTTCTCTGTCAATATGCTGCGGCAACAATTTTTGAATTACCTTCAACAAGATTTTACTTGTGTGTAATATTAATGATATTGTTCAGTAACTTCCACATTCTGTGGGATCACCTTCTTTGAAATGGGTACAAACATGGATCTCTTCCAGTCAGCTGGGCAGGTAGCTGTCTTCCAAATCTCTTGGCATAAATGAATGAGTGCCTCCAGTGCAGCATCCATTGTTGAAACATCTCAATGGATATTCCGTCAATTCCTGGAGCCTTGTTCTTTGCCAATTCCTTCAGTGCACCTTCGACTGCTTCCTTCAATACTATTGGTTCTTGATCATACACCACCTCCTGAAAAGGATGAACACTGGCCAATTCTTTTTAGTACAGTGACTCTTTGTATTCCTTCCATCTTCTTTTGATGTCTCCTGTATCATTCAATATTTCACCCACAGAACTTTTCAACACTGCAACTCAAGGCTTGAATTTTTTCTTCAGTTCTTTCAGCTTGAGAAATGCTGAGCGTGTTCCTCCTTTTTGGTTTTGAACTCCAGGTCTTTGTACATTTCATTATAATAACTGATTTTGTCTTCTTGAGCTGCTCTTTGCAATCTTCTGTTCAGCTCTTTTATCTTGTCATTTCTTCCATTTGCTTTAGCTACTCTC